AACAAATCTGTGACATGTAACATGTTGTTCAGAAGCAGCAAATGCTAAATCGGACCTGGTAAATGTGATTTTTGAAAACTTAAGTAGATATGGGTGCGTTGTTTCTGGGCGAAGTTATTTTTCGTAAGCAAAACTCATAACTTTGTCCCCCGATTTCAAGGAGGCAGGTTCCCTCGGCCGGTCAGCTCTTCCAACCATGTCTGTTCTACATGGAAAACCCGGATATTAATGAGCGCATCCCGCTTCATACATCTAAGTAATTTCAGAAGTATTTTGTAAGAGAAACTCTTTGGAGATGAAAACAACGCACAAATCCCTACGATTTTATCTTCCAGGACGCACCACCATGTTTTGAAGCAGGCAGTCGCAAATCGGTTAAGAGCACTGAAAAGCTTGGCAATTGTGTTGGGCTAGATCTAAATACATGATGAAATCGGATTTTATCAGACATGCACTGCAGTGCATGAATCTCAGAGGCCTGAATCACTTTATGATTGGCGTTGGGAGGGCAAATCAGTGGGTCTTAGGACTTGCATATACTAGCCTGCAGTACGATTTGCTCAGTTTGGCTGTGAGGCTTGGTGTCTGCGGACGGAAATTTGATGCGTCGTTAACCTTGTGACCACAAGTGTCTCGAAAGCGTTGTTTGCGCTAGATAGCGCACACAAATTTGCAGCGAGGCACTTAGAGAATTGGTGTTTTTCTCACCAGGTACACTAGTCGTGGAAAATGTTCAGCACCATTGTCGACAGTGGTGGGTTCTGCGCGATGCATATTAAACCGTCGTCTTCAAAGCTAGCAATGTTCTCTATGTGTCATTCACGAAGAGACAACCTCAGCTTAGTGTGAAGGTTTGTGCACTTCATTAACCCAGTGATCCATGTGATTCATGTTGTCCATGCAGCATTCACAGTCTCTCGTACTGGGTTGTTTCGTGGAGAGACAGACCCACATGGTTTCCTGGTTATCCAGGTTGAGGCCCTGGATGTGTGTAGTGACACTCTCTACAGAGGTAGCGCTACTCTGATAGTCCAATAACAGCCACCTGGCCTTTAGGCTAGAAGCTTTTTTCGGGAGCTTTTAGCATCCTGCTCTCTAGGTTTGGGCACCCTGACAGCATCTTAGCCTACATACAACCACGACGATTAATAATCGGAATGCACATCTCAGGAAATTTCAGAAAGTTTTGGGCTCATGATTTCCCGGCCATTAGGTTGAATGTTTAATGGTTCGGCCACAAACCGCTGACCAGCAGTGTGGTGAAACAGAATTTAGATGGGATATAGCTTGGCTCATCTTTCAACTGCGAGATCCACATCACATGGTCATATGTGACTGACTTATCGAGTGATGAATTCCCAGATGGGAGTTTCACTTATCATGTGAATTTGTTCTTCCTCATGGCTATTTGTAGCTGATAGTGTTGGAAGATTTAGGGATTTTCCTGTTAGAAAAGGAAATTTCTAATAGAAATTCCAAAATCTCCCACACTGTCTACCACTTGTTCTCACGTTTTGACCACTGTGGTCCACTGGCGTAAATCCACACCAGTTTCCCATGTGCAAATTTTTGCTTATTCTCTTTGGGAGACCTAATTAGTCTGTGCTGTGACACTGGGACGATGTTAGCACGCGATTTATATCACAAGATACTCGATTTGTGGTGTTTCCAAAGGTTCATCAAGTAAGCGCTCTATTTCAGACCAGTCATTGATGTCCGCTTTGAGATATATCCTTCAAAAGCCCTAACAGTCAGAAAAACCGCTAGACTTTAGCACAAGCATAATTCGCATGTTGATTTAGAAAGCTGGCGGAAGCAGAAGATTCTGGAAAGAAAGACGTTAGCACGGTTAAAAATGCTCGGAAGCTTCATCTTATGCGTAAAAATGGACCAGAAGAAGGTGTTACGAGGCCATGCAGCTCGACAGTGGAAATTTAATAAATAAAAAGAACCAGCTTCTTGACTGCGCTGTTACCCACAAAGTCAGTGCACGCATGAACAAGGCAACTTGGGAGTTCGCCTCACTTTAGTGGTCAGAAATAAATATCACAGTGGCTGAAGGGTCATGCCCCTAATACGACTTTGAGAAGAATTCTACTCTGTGGCTATGAAATTTGGCCCCTGGGATCTGTGGAACACAAATGCACCCAGAAGCTTGATCAGCGGCATCTCCATATTACAACTGGTCTGAACTACCCGCACTATGCACGTAATGAGACAGTTCGTAGACGAGTACTACATAATGAGCCGGATTAGGTCGAGTAAAACATAAAGGTTTATAAGGTTATGGTAACTGGAGCATGTGGCAGTTACACCGGATCATCGTCTACCAAAGAGCATTTTTCTGCTCGGAATCCTTGCTGCAAAAGGTTCAAGGATAACATGCCATGATGTGGAAGCGCGAAATGGAAGCCACTATTATTAAGTTGAATGCTGCAGAATCTCCACGCCTTCCTTGATGGACTCCACCTGATTCGCCTTGCGTGTGTTTGGACCAATTATAGGACAAGACACGAAAAAGATCCCGCTAGGGATATTGATTCCACTTCCCATCTGTATTAATATCTGCTTTGAATGATGGATTGTGTTGGGTGAGGTTCAAAAGGGACATTGAGTCAACCTCACTGATGACTCCTTACTGCGACTTTATGCTTAGATGTGCTTAGTTCAGTTGTTTTGGATGGTTTAGGCACCTCACTGCTCAGCATTTTCAATGGAAACATAAGACTTTATACAATAACTTCTTTTCCTTTTCACCACAATGGCTAGAGACATTGTCAGATATGGCCCAGTCGCGCCCTCAATGGCGCTCGTGCATCCAAGCTGTTGCCTTCAATGCATAGCTCCTTTTCCAACCCCCCCACTTGACAGCCCACTGTATCTATCCCCCCCAAAACATCGGTGAACGAAACTGCGGCAGCTACAACCACTGTACGACGAGTACGCGGTTATTACAGCCGACAATGATGATGATGATGATGATTTCTTTTTCACCATAAACTAGAGTCTTCTTCCTCCATGGTTGTTTAGTGGTTCGGCTCATGGAAACTTATGTTTGGATAAGAACGAATTGAAATATCGTGTCACATGCAAGCAAGTTTTATTACTTTTGTCTAGTCAGAAATTTTCGTTGAACGTAATTTCCTACATCAACTAGGCTGATGAATGTCAAGGACCTTCAGGGGCGCAGAAGGTCAGCTCGCCAGATCGCATGAGTTTGCGCAGTGGTACGATTTTGAATGCGACAGACACTACAACGTCGATGAATACTGCGTGCTGACTATTGGTCTAAAGTGTGACGGCAATTTCCTGTGTCAGTTTCAGACATCTAGATAGGCACCCGCGATTATGATCTCAATGCACATGTCAGGGAGGATAAAAATTAGGCAATCTCATGGAAGACGGGCTGAGGTAGCTAGATCGCTATGGCGAAAACTACATACTTCACGGGCACCTGCCTAACCACCTGAGCATCGCTGTAATAGCGTGGTTATTCAGTAAATTGGAAAGAGACATGCTGGTGTTGGACGCGCTGACCTGAATAGACTCAAGGCGGTGACGCGTAGGTATAGGTGGTTTCCTTAACGGAGGGATATTCGAGACATGTGCACTAGATATAACCTTTTAGCACAGGTTAAAAATCCGCAACGTGAACACCTCGACCCATCCAATTAGATGCCAAAATGTGGACATCGTTGAATGCGATATCATTACTGCCCATAATAACCAGAACACCATATAGTATGAGCAATAGCACTTCTGCGCATTGCTATCCAGCAGCACCCTAGACAGTGCTTAATTTTTGGATTTCTCAGGATAACTTTACACATATCAAGGTTCTATCTTTGAATGTATACTTACACACGGGCTTTGTCAACTCCTGGGTATCCGTAAATCGGGTAAGGTGATGAAGCATAAGTGCCAACATTCGTATTGCTGTCTCTTAGGATAAACATATTGAGGGCGTTGTAAATTGAGATCCAGTACCGGACACTCAAGGAAAAGCTGTTTGGACGGCTCAACCATATGTTGAAATACCGGTTCAAAGAGTTAGCAGGATCGCAAAAAAGAATGTGATTTGATGACTGTGTTCAACAGTGTATGATGGGCGGTAATGTGCATTCATCAACTGCCGTCAGTACATTTTTGACTAACGGAGAGAGGAATGTGCCACCAACTCGATTCATATGAGTTGCAACAGTCACCGTGACTTTGAAGAAAACGGTGGTCACATTGATCGGCAAGATCAGTCGTATTGACTTCAACGAGCCGTCCTTCCATCAGCTTTCCAAACCCGTGTTAGTTTTATTCAGAGTACCCCGGTGCACAATTTGTCACCGAAAAACTTAAGAGTAAAACTTACTGCCTACATTCACCACAATCTTTTTAGTACCTTTCCGCAAGTGAGTATGTCAAGACTACACTTCTCTACGGTCCCAAGTACCGATGGCGTGGCTAATTAAAGTGGTGATAATCGGGTTGTGCGCCACCTCGTTCTGCTCAATATGAACATCTGGATGACGGGTGCAGCAACCCTCTGAGTATTCTAGATGAACCATTTTGATCGAGTGGCCTACACTCGTTTGACATTTTTTGTGCGGATGTCTGAAAACCACCCATTGGGAGAACACACCATGAGAGTTTGATTGGCTAGAGGACAATAATACGGTGGCCTTCGCGAATGTTTTACAAGCTTATCAAACTTATCTCTATGAAGTGAATGTGAAGTTTCAGTTATTATTTCAGAGATATTTACCAGTAGACACGTGTTTACCTGAATTTCATTGTTTTTAGTTTCCGTTCTTTTTATCAGACTACACCGGCATATAAATTCTCGTCCGGCCAGAAAACACCATCAGGGCGCGTTCTGATTTTCCGTTAACCAGCCTCGTACACATCTGGACTGTCAACTTTATTGAGCGTGCTTGGATAATCCTTCATATTATGAATTTTACATCAGTTTATTCATCATCTTTGTAGTGTGAGCGATTTTCTTCACTATGTTGCCGAAGTTGTGTAGCACTGTGGGTTTCGTGTCCCGATCCACGCTTGTTGCCAAAACCCTTCCCACTAAACGTTTACCGACCTCTGGTCAGGCTTGTTATACTCCAAATACAATCATTGGATTTACTCATCACTCGGCTAATAATGAGAACCGGAAGTGGTCTAACAAAGTGAGTTAATTATTGCGTTACCACTTTTCACCTGGTTTCAAAGTTTGATTTCCTGACAGCTTTTTCAGTTGGCACTTTGTCTGCGTTTTTCGCCTTCCGGAAACGTGACGAAGATTCAGAAGAACGGAAGAACGAGAAAACGGACGTCGTCGAAAACGGGCAAAGGATTATCCACCTTTCTGAAGTGCAGAAACACAAGTCGGTGGCAGACGGAGGAATTTGGGTCATATTTCAAGGAAAAGTATACGATGTTACTAATTTTGTTGAAAAACATCCTGGTGGGGACAAAATACTATTGGCCGCAGGGTCAGATGTCGCGCCGTATTGGAGATTGTACGCTTTTCATCACGAAAAACACGTTATAGACATCCTCAGAGAGTACTATATCGGAGATCTCCCGGAATCGGTTAGTCACTCTACCTAGTTTCGTAGGAGTTTGTATCTAACTTGCTGATCAAGTCAGTTATGTTCTGTGCTAGGATGTGGAATGGTAGCATTTTTTGACCCCGCCTCAGTAACCTTGATCAACATTAAACGTAATCTGTTTTTTCGAATTGCCGTCACAGCCTAGATCAGTATGGTAGTGTCCGTGATATCTGCAAAGTTATCTCGAAAGGATCTGACAGGTACCAATTTTATCATTATAAGGGCTACGGTTCCAGGCCAACCTGTTAGAAACCATTTCTTAATGTATCAGAGTGGAATGATGGTCAGACTAACGGTGAAAATTTCAAACATATATACAATCAACGTGCGCCAACTCTCTAATGGTGTTTGAAAAATGGGCAAACGAACTCAGTTGTCGACGGAGTGGGACGAAAATCAAAACAGTTTAAGCAAAGACGTAGTTCATCACACAATCACAAGAACGTATATGAAACTTTTCCCCATGGAAGCACCTGTCCACTGTTCCTGTGAAATTTGTTATCCTTTATTCTAGGTCTTCTTTCCCTGATGGGCGGATACGTTCGTTTTTTTTTCGAAAAACGAAAACCATCCCAATTTAGAAAGGCAGCTTTGCTACCTTAAGAACTAAACTGTTCATCAGCTTTGTGATGTCAGCGGTTTGTTGCTCTTGGCGTTCCAGTTCCTCGATAATCTTAAACAATGCTACATTAGTAAATGTTAGAACACCACTGTTTAGCTATTGATTTTATCGAGTAATTTCTTCCATTGCCTTTTGGTTATCACGGTTACCTACACCACATTTACGGGCGTTAATGTGTCGCATCAGATTTCGACTACGGGTCGTTATGGGGCGGAACACAGGAATGCGTACAGCCTTTCCTTGCTATTAGAATAGAATAACCGGGTACCAAGTCTGCCACTTGAAATGACAAGGGACAAGTGTGCTTGCTTTCTACAAAGACAGCACTTGGGGTAGGATTTTTGTAAAGGAACACTTTTACTTTCAAAGTGAGCCTTCGCTCCCTTTTTCTTCTGCGTTTTTATGCTTCCGTTTGTTCAGCAATTTCTTTCGTCACGGCAGATTTGATGCTGTAGGGCCACTCTACACATGCTCAGCAAATGTAGTGGCTCGTCCCAAGGAATGGGCACGACTTTATTATGAAGACCACTTTGTAGGGGATACCACTCCAAAGCATCTTATTATTGGTATTTCAAATATCATTCCTCTATTAAAAGTAAGCAAGACAGTAACGGAGAGTTCTGTGGATCATGCATTTTCGTCAATTTAAATGTGACTTGAAAAGCAAAAAGTCTTCTTTCCTTTATTTTGTTAACGGGATGAGGATGGTTATGGCTGGTTAAGGCATGTATTTTGGTGCTCAACAATTATTTGTTGAGTGGTAAAAGTTCATTGCAAAGAAATAACTCAGCACTGCACTGTGGACTGCTCCTCTTCTGTCTCGCGAAATTGAACTGATTTTCGGTCAGTCCCAGGACAGGAATGCTATGCAATTTTTGTGCTTAACAAAACTGAGGAAGTAGTGGGATTGGAGCGTGGAAGCCCATTTCTTTCACTTCATTTTCCGTGGAATATTTCGACGCGCGTTAGTGGATTGCGTTTAAATGCGTAGATGGAAAGTATATTCTACAGTGATTGATCGGAGTTTCCCGATGGAACCGAAAGTAGTGTATCTGAGGTCGGGTGTACTGTCAGTTGGTATTTGGCTGTATTTGGTTGTGCAAGCACGGTCAACCGAAAGTCGAGGTCATGTCATGTGGATTTGGATCACACTTTGATTGAATACGATTGTGCTGGCGCAAACAACTTTTGATCATTTATGGCCATCGTCATCCGGCGCCAATGGTTACCTTCCAAGTGTATTTTCCCTACAAACAAATCCTCACTTATCGCCGCTTGTCAAGATATCCTAGGATGGTGACAATCCTGAACGAAAAACTCGAACTATTCCCGGGTGCATGGCGTTTTTTTAGACATTTGTAGCTTTTTCTGCCTAAAGTTGGGTATCTACGTTTTTGAGACTTTTTCGAAGACCTAGCTTTATACATGTGCTCGGAGTTTTATCCCAATCGGTGTAACAGTTTGTGAGTTGCGTGGGTCAGCTCCAATATACACTTTCTAAATGTGCTCCCGGGGACATGATACAGAGGCTACCGAACGATGAACTGAATGCCGACACCTGATTACAACCTGATCCTACAAACGGACCCAGCGCGCGATAAGCTTCACCTCACTTTTATTGCGTTCATCTGAAAATTTAAGAAGATGAGCCTATCAGTCAACCAGGAGGTTAATCAACTCAAGCATACTCTTGACGCACCGTGATTAGGCATCGAGGATAAGTTTTGAGATCAGATGTGAAGAAGGCGTTTGGTCTGAAGGCATTTGCATGTGCTAGCAATTCACGTTGAAGGTTGTGATAGTTGAGAACGCAGATGTGCCTCAGTCTTTGTCGGATCGGCGTATGGCTTGACGTATACTCAGGAGGTGTGAGAACCCGTAATTTTTTAGCTGGTGCCTCAGTGAAGGAAAGCCAAGTGCACCACTGTTCGAGTAGGGTATGGGGTTGTTTCTGGAATTCGTCTTGGGTTGAAAAAAAACATGTCAATAGGATATGCATTCCGTTGGAGATATTTGATTTGCACACCGATGACTGTTTTTACACATATGCACATATATTTACGCAAAACATTTCTACGGATGCCTTGCAACTGACAGCAGATGAATTGATGGCGGTCATAGAATTCATCGAACTATGGTATGCACAAGGGTTTTACAGGAAGCGTCATCGCTCATTTTTTATGAGTGACGGTTTGGCTCATATAGATTTCACAGAGTGATTCCGAGAAATCGATTTTTCTAGATCAAACTCCTCTCAGAATCAATTTTACGAATTCGTGTTTACTCCGCAAGTCGACAGGTCCTTTTATGCCTGTTCTTGTGGTGTCCCAGTTTTTACGACTGAGTGCCGAGCTGCCTTTCGTTTGTATGCTGAGGAGCAACTCACGTTCTTGAAGTCGCGCTCTTAGTTCCCCTTTAAGCCGAATAAACCGGGTAAATTTGGTATAGGTTCTGGATGATACACAACCCATAATCCGAAGAGGTATGCCCCCTAACTCATTGCTTGTGAAGAAGAGAAACGGGACTGTTTTTATTTGTCAGAGTATATAGTATTGCTAATGATAAGTCTTCCCAGCAAAATCACCATAGGGAACTAGCTCACCAGTCTTAGTGTAACTGAACGTACGACTGTTGTGAGACAATTCACCACAACCGAAAGGGTAATCCCAATGAGTACGAGAGCTGATGGACATCTGTGGCTGAGTTATCAGACTTCGGTCCGCAGAAATTGCTGCTCAAAATGAGTCATTAAAGACAGGATATATACATGTACACATTGTTTTGAACCTGTATGATAATTTCACCCTATTTAATATATCGAAATCCGTTCACATTTTTATAACGTTTTATCATTAACAGGCTAGTTATATAAAAGTGATCAACTGGATTATCTTCGGCAACCACTTTTACCAGCGGGATTAATTCTCTTATCAGTACTTTGAAACAATTTTAGCGCTTTTAGCTGGACAGGCGCACTTTTCTGCTGTGATAAGCTTTGTCATATCATATTACGGTCAAGTTAAGAATGTTTTCGTTCTTAGCACTTTATCTTATTAGGACAGTAATGGTGCCATCAAATGATGTGCTTACGATGTTTTTTCGGCATTCGAAGGGCTTGATTTTGTGTTCCGGTGACTAGGCTCGAGCCTGGTCCTATCCAGTAACCTAAGTCGTCCAATAGTAGTATAGATACATTCCGTCCAACCTCGTCAGGTGCCTTTTGAATGGCTTCATTTCGCCAGGGGAGTTGCTCAGTTTCGTTGAACTGACCAGACAGGCGTAGGCGAGGTACTCTTTCACGGAGTCATAGGGTAAAACTGGTATCGGTTGGTATGACGTCTCTACGATTGGTGACAAAATGTCTGCAGGCAAATTGCCAAGCTCGGCGAACAGATCAGCAACCACATGCACTAGAACCAAATAAAACTCTTGTCCAGTGGCGCCACTTAGCTTCCAGAAAAGTACCCTCACCCCGTTATCCAGCATTCAACACTCGAAACACTGCCATTGGTTACTACTCAATCCGTGCGTCTGCAGTGGGCGGGTAAATACAGAGCTTACTCAAAATACGGAAATTTCAGTCATACGTTCCGCAATCCGTTATGGTAACAAAATCGATGGGTGACTGCAGACGTCATTCTAAGGGCACTACTCCACTGAAGTCAATAGACAGGCAACAAATAACCAGGTATCAGAGTCCCTGACGCAACTCACTGGATATGGTCACCTCAATTCACAACCCGTTCGAATGCTATCACAGAAGTTTATTCTTTCAAATTCACTTCAGTCGGTTTATTTGCATCCATCTACAGAAATGAGCCTAGAATTTCCACTTTATTATGTGAAATTACTTGAGACCATAATTGCTAGTCATCCGTTTTTACCGAAATCCGTATGGCGTGCGAGCTTCACCCCTAATTAGACAGCATGATCAAAACTGGTAGTTCTGATGCAGCAACGCACAGGGAGTTCGTGGACTAGGGAAAGGAAACGGTATGATTTCCCAAACTCAGAAATCTGTCCTAAACTCATTGAGTGTCTCACAACAAAATTACCGTTCAACGATGGAAAGAAGTGTCTGAAGTCTTGTTGAATCTATTTGGTATATAGGCCTTCACTATATCAGTGCCAACTTAGCCGAAACACCTTACTCAATTTCTGGAGCAAGGTAGCAGTAAAAACTAACTGATTGTTTACCAAATGTTCCGAGCTACAGAAAACTCTCCCCTTCATTTCACACTGGGAAATGTGTATCGTTTTTGCTGGTTGGAAAGTCACGCGCAGAGCTTGCTATCAAGTGGTTTCCCCCTAACATAATGATGATAGATCTAGCCTTTCATCCTTTATCGTCAAAACACAAATGCATAGGTTTTCCGGGTGCGCACGGATACAAACTTTCAGTACATTTATGGTGAACTGTACAAACGCAAATACCTCATGTTGTTTACTTGGTGACTCAGATCCATAAGTGACCTTAGATGTCACCGTCCATTTCAACTGGAAATTCGACAACGTCCTTGCCACTAGTCGGTCAGGTTAATACAACCCGAAAGTATCTCGCATGTAGAATCACGCAGATGCTATTCATCGATCAGATTAGGGTGAAATTCAAACGATGACATATTTTGCACAGCTGAGGTTTTGAAGGTTTGTTTATGGTATGTTTATAGCCGATGTAGGTTTTGTCGATAGGTCTTTGCATTGAATCTCCATGCTGGTATTATCCAGAGTTACCACTTCCTTACCTCTGAATAGAGACAAGCTCCTTTAAAGCGACCTTTATTTTGTGCTACTTCATCCAAGGAGCGTACACTGTTCTGACCTTCCAAAATGCTTTTTATTAAAATTATTGTCTTCTTGAACCTTGCCTTGCCTTGAACCAAAGAGCACTAACGTTTTTTCATTCATATAAGATAGGTGTTATAAGTTTAGAAGCATTTAGGACTCCTAGTGAGTGAATGGAAGTCAAGTGATTTAGAATCCAACCTGTTGTTTTGTTGAAGTTTGTCAAACAAAGCAGTGCATTCAGGAACAAAGTATCTAGTAATTCCAGCGCGCTAACTGCCTAATTTCTTGTGCTTTCCAAGTCAGACTGCCAATCGCATTTCATATTTGTGGAGTGCATATTTCCTTCTTGTTTTCAATCTAACCCGTCCATTTATCTGGCACACAGCTAGACTGGAGCGTTATTAAATTTAACGAGACTGGTAATGGCTCAAGGATTAGCTTCCGTAGACGTGGGCGAATGAGCTCCACACCAAAAGCTTCTTTGCATAAGACTTTTCTTGTGCCCTGCAATTTTTTAAGACATTGTTTTGTAGGGTCGTTTAAAATTGAGTCACCAGTTTGCTTGATCCAACCAGTTCATGTTTACCATGGAAGAACTTTTATGAGGAGTGAGTGTGAGAAATAACCATGGTACTCTATTTATGCACCACGGATTCGTAAGCTCTCCACAACCTTTTCTTTGGTTAGTTTTTTGAGCCAGTTGATTTAAACTTCACTAGTCATATTTGCTCTGAAATGCTGATTTTCGCTAGCTGAACGACCTGAGCTGGAAGCCAAGTGTAACTGATGCATTCGATCGAAGTTGGGGGTAACCCGACCGTTTGATGATACTATGGAAGAGATGTCAGAAATAAATGATTATCCTTGTCTTTTTCACTCCCTCAGAGTGAAATTTATTGGTAAAAGAAGAGCATGGTCTCTATGGAAAGGTAACCTTCAAAGTGCAGGTGGGAAGAACAGCTGGAATTCTGTGATTTTTTACACTGATATCACTTCTTGTTCCACTCCAGTGTAACAAAATAAATAACTTAGTATCCGGGAAATAAAAGCAGACATGACGATTGCTATACCCTTCAAAAGGGGTCACCCTCGGAGGTTGACCATATATTAACTTCTCCGAGATTCATCCTTATGAGAGTATAGTTACACCACCTCTGAGCTGATGGAAATTTTTAGGTGACCCCAATGCTTTACTTGAATTTATTTGCAAGTAATTCGCCTGAATAGCCTTGTTATCTCCCTCTTTACTCACTGCTTAAGGTGCAACATGTAGTATGGATAGTCTCGTAAGATAACTAACGTCTATTTGTCCTCAGTTGACTGGCTTCTCCATGAATATCTATCCCTCCGGCACAGGAAGCCAACTTTACTGAGCATGAAGAAAGAAGTGGTCCTTATGCCAATGATCCTGAGCGGCATCCTGCGCTTGTCACCATATCCAAAGAGCCGCGCAACGCAGAGACTCCAGCCGTGTTAATTCCCGATTATCCGATAACACCCAACGAACTGTTCTTCGTTCGAAATCATCTACCAGTTCCCGATATAGATATCAAGTGGGTTTGTCCGTGATTCATCAATATCGCAGTTTTTTTCCGCACAGCTGATATGGGTATTTTTCCAGTTCGGAAAAAGGGTTAAACAGACATCTGAACGCTTCGAAATGCGTAGAAGGCATAGCTGATAAAAATCCGTTGGTGAAAGTCTGTACCGAAAACATCAAGGATGGGACGATAATTATTGTCTGGTATTCTGGTTCCATCACAATATAATTTAGTTTGCAAAAGTTCGATTTTTAATGCATCGGTAATTTATGATTGAATTAGTTTGACTTGAGACTATCATTTATTGCGAGTGTCCACTTGTCTGGAAGGAACCTACAAAGGATCCCGTATATGCCTGAAATGCCAGACGACGTCGTCACCTCCGGATACATGGATAGATGGCCTGTCAGTCGGATTTGCCGGTCATTAAAAGATGAACCACCAGCAACTTGCAGATGGTTATATAACCGCAGATTATTTTTACGAAGTTGTATCTGGTGTTGCGTGTAAGCCTCTAATGCAGCCCTACATTTGAAAGAGTATGACCGGCGAACGGACATGCATAGGTTTATTTTCTGCCCTCTGTTGGCCTAAGTCTGATATCACAACGACGAGTAGTAAGAACAATAATTGTTCAGCTGCAACACCCTTTCGGTGCCTAGCTGCAGTGCCACCAGAAGGAAGCACGAGGGATGGGATACTGTTTAGTTTCATCAGCCTCGACAGAAGAAGTCGAGATGCCGAGTTCAGGTTCGAACCACTAGTATCCCAGTCAGTAAACTGACGCCCTAGCCGCTGAGCCTTCTCGCCCTCAACAAACAGTACGCGTCTCAGGATTACCAAAGTCATCCGTCACGTTCTTTAGTAGAAATATTCTCCTTCCCCTATAAGTGCGTCCTTCAGGTGGTAATATATGATCTGACAATGTTTCATTGATTTGGTAGTTGTTGTCCGTAGGACGAAAAAATGTTGAACAAGTACTGATTTTACTGCGACACAAACATACTTAACAGGGCTAACGGTTCCAGTATTCTGTTGACCAACATGGCCGCTCGTACTGAGGCGTGCACCTCCGCCCAGTGTATCACTTCAGATGGTAGTGGCTGCACTGGCAGGCTTGAGCTGCTTCCAAATGGCTCGTTGGTTTAGTAGCACCAAGACTTCCTGCTTCAGCTTGTGGGGACAGACGTGCCTAAGATCACTCCGGCGAGTTGTAAGTTCTTCCGTGATCTAATCCGGAGGTTGCAATGTTCCAAACTTACTCTGAAGCTATCTCAAAAGCAAAAGTCTGGGCACCTCCGAGTTCGAATTCCATTTTTCAGCAGACAAATGGCAAATTGTTTCGGGATGCAAGTTTTTACCATTCGTTTGGAGTAGCATAACCAATAGCCATGCTAGCGTACCATATTGCACTTGATTTAATTACGCCGCATTTTTTGGTACTTCGGTTTTCGGTATTCAGTCTATCCACTTTATCGACGTCCGACTCTGCGTAAGCACATCAAGCGATGTCGATCAGGTATCCGAACACGCCATCAGGACTTCGCCGCCTTCTAGTATCGGAGACAACACAGATTGATAAGCTGCAATTCAGTTGCCTATGTGTGGGTGGGGATTGGTACAGCTGCGTTTCTCGGGAGGACCGAATATAGAACTGGCTTTCACAGTTCACACATTCAGTTCACTATTAAGTGCCACAGATCAGTAGCCACCTGATCTACAGCCAATATGCTGCCAAGACGGTGCACTAGCTCACGACAGCACGATGTTTCATGCTGAACCCTTGACGTAGGCTACTTGACTATAAATGCTTTCGAATCGTATGCAACCTGAAGCGTGTTTTCACTGAGCCGGATGCCTGAAGCTGCACAAACGTTTAGGTTCTCACCAGCAGAAAGGCCGTGTTGTTGCTATTTTGCTCCAAATAGCTCAGTGGTTAGGGGGAAAACATACATACTTGAAGGCTCGTGGTTCGAACCCGAACTCATCATCTTGACTACTCCCGTCTGGACTCGGGCAACTTAACATTATCTCAGCCCTCGTGCTTCCTTCGGGTGGCATGACAGATAGGCACCGAAAAGGTGTTACAGCCGAGCGATTATGTGGCAGTGTGGTTAGCTCGCCTCACGGTTCACAGACCACGTGATGAAGCCGCTTTTATCAGTATAACGATCTCTGGAGCGTGCTTTCTCATTGGGGTGGGACTCTATGCCACACCGTTTAAGCAGTAATACCACATTATATTATCCGCTGATACGGAATGTGGAAATCGATCGCCCTGAGGTAGAGATGCTCTCAATAAGGTGGACAGTCGATTCTATGCACGTTGCGATGGCTTTTATATGTAGTGCATCGAAGAAGAACTTATTATTTATTATTCCACTGTATTATTACCGTTTCACTTGATTACGACAATAGCGATGAAGACTTTTCTGTGTCACTCTAATGACTTCTAAGAATGCAATTAATTATTGCTGAAGTTTGGTCATTTTTGTTTGAGGGTTGGAGCAATAAATAGCAGCATCGACGTCACGATAACTTACAACCTTATGGTCAGCAGACAGCTCTTACAGTTTCTATCAGGAAGAGTTGGTAGATACCGAAATTCTTATTGACCGTAATCGATTGACCAAGTGAAAAGCGACCCTATCACTATAACCATTTCACTTTCATGGTCGGGTTTTTCCACTGGTCTGGAGGCTATTCACATAGTCAATATGGACAACATCTCAAATCAGTGGTATTCATTCAAGAAGGTGGTGTATTGGAGAATACTGAATGACACACTGGACTCTTCTCGATATAGATAATCCCATCCTTGATTTCTTCAATAACCTGAAGTCCATTAGTATCAAGTTAGTGAGAATCTCTGTCCCCTCAGTGTGCTTCCGCGAATCTCTTGTCTGAACTACGCAGCCACTTATACAAGCCCAAAGTTATCTTCAGTTGCAAAACGCGCTTTGATTAAAATTATAAAAGGCGTAACCACCTATCTGTACATTCTCCCTCCTTGGACGGATCCGACGTTTTCTATCCTTACCGTTTACAGCCATCCTCACTGTGCACTTGTTCGTCCCTAAGCAGTACACTGATCAGTGCGCTGTTTGGTGTGCCCATTTTGTGCAAAGCTAACTTAAAGTGAAGTTTTTCCCTAATTGTCCCTTATAACTGTTTCTATGGTTAGGAGAAGTGTCACTCTAATGCCACTTCCGAGAGGACCTTTTCATTCGCAATACGGATGGATGTGTCAATTGTATGCTTTTAGCGATCTCCTAATTTACTATATGGGTGCATTAGAAACTAGCAATGGCCTGTTTCCCTCTGTTAACATTCATAAGTCTATATCTGCATTGATAAAGTAATAAAAACTCACAAATTTTCACTTGCCGTCATATGCAACAAACTACGTGGGACTATAATACGTCCACTCATGACGGACGTTGTGCAAGTACTCAGTACGTATAGGACCCAATTTTTTCAGGTGTTTGTGAATGCCAGATAGCACCTGTGACTCAGTCGTAGGATAATATCTCCGCCTCTTCTATTTCCCGGTGGCTATTTTTGGTCTTGGGAGTCTGTCTGCCTTCCCTCAGATGTCACCCCCTGGCTACTTTTCAATGTTGTTCCATAAGTCGACCTTATTTTTAGATTGCATAATAACGTAATTATTCACCTCTGGGACCCTGGAAGTCTAACCTTGGAATATTAATTTGCTGATGACGTGTATCTACACAAATAAGTCATTTGTTTTAAGGTTCCTATTTGGACCTCCAAACCAATTCCTCTTTCCAGCACATGAAATCATCGTTTTGACGTCCTTGGATGGGTAGGTTTGACATGGCCATAGAACTATGCGACAGTTGGAGGTCTCACCCTGAATAATGGTCATGCCACCCTGTGGTTCATGCATTGTCACAAACCGTTGTGGAGTATATTCGATTCTCAGCCTGAATTCTTGGTCTGCACGAACTCCACGCTCCCTATACTTGCGGTTAAATGGCCTATGCTCTTTGCTCAGTCTTTTTTCTGTTTAGAAGTCCTGCGAGCGGCTTTTTGCGTTGATTTGAGCGCATTTGCTGACGTATTCTTTGCTGCTTATGATTCATCCCACTTTCCCAGTATACCTCACCATTAGGTGCTCGACAGCTCCTCGGTACCCTCAAGTGGGTAGAATCTAATTTACTGGGCTAAATAAGATAATATTCTAAATGTCTTTTATTCATTTTTATCACGATATGTTTTACCGCCTTCAGTCGCTATATGTCTGTTTTACATTCGTCGTTTTTCATCTTGCTATACATGCTCATATGTGTGAATGTAAGTAGTAATGTGTTGTTGAGATCTCGTCCTGTAAGTGAAGCCAGTCTATGCTGAAAAGCCGAGAATAACTGTACAGCTGTTTCATCCCTACTGGGGATTATCAACCCGAATATCCTCACACTACCAACAATCTATAAGTAGCTCAGTCAATTTTAAAGTGCAATGTAAGTGAACGTATTAGTTATACTTCCAGAACAAATCTATACACGTTTTCAAGACCGAGAATGAAGGCTGAGTTGGAGGAGTTCAAAGCTGGGGCTGGATTGAGACACACAATCGGACCATTTTGCAGCAAGCGCCGGTGAGATGCATGGAATGGAAGCAAATTTGTTCGCTGTAGGTGTTGGGGACAGTCAGACAGAATATACAACTACAGGGTATCGCAGTCGATTAAAAAATAGAGTCATAAACTGTCTGATAGAATGAAGGCAAAACTAAGATCCCAACAATCCAGAGGCACTTGAGAGGTCGTTGCTCGAGGAGCCAGTCACAAGTGTGACCGCGTGATGTGGATCCTCTGATTGAAAGAGGAGCGGCGCTATATCCTGTCTAAGTGCGAGTTAATCACACTGCTGAGCAGGTGTCCGTGGCCGAACAACTGAATGTTAAACTAATAGCCAGGAGATCGAGGGTTCGGAACTCTCCGGAGTTTCGTGAGATGCTCACTGCTGATGTTCTCAATAACGAGGAGCCAGTCACAAGTGTGACCGCGTGATGTGGATCCTCTGATTGAAAGAGGAGCGGCGCTATATCCTGTCTAAGTGCGAGTTAATCACACTGCTGAGCAGGTGTCCGTGGCCGAACAACTGAATGTTAAACTAATAGCCAGGAGATCGAGGGTTCGGAACTCTCCGGAGTTTCGTGAGATGCTCACTGCTGATGATTCTCAATAAGGATGAAACAGCTGTACAGTGCTTCTCGGTTTTTCAGCATAGACTGGCTTCACTTACAGGACGAAATCTCCACAAAAAACTCAGATCTACTCACAAAATATGTTGTGTTGCAAATTGTTGTCTATCTGCCATCTCCGTACAGTAATGGCTACAAGTTACCTATTAGTCAGCACAAAGTAACTTCATTCCTCCAAACCGTCTTCGTTGAGCTGATGACAACGGAAGGGATGCGGTAGACAATTTGATTGACCGCGTTTGCATTGACGGTTACCTGTCTGAGGCAGTCAGCCCACACAGGCGATAATGTCAATATTATTTTGCGGAAACCCATCAGGGTAAACGAAAGCCCATGCCATCTCGTGGCGTGTATTCGCGTATGTTCTTGTCGTTCTATTGAACAAGCAACGCGTTTGGTCTAGCCGGAAATTTCTGTCTATCTCCTAATAATTTTCCCTTATGCTACTTCAGGGCAGTGATAATGAATAATTGCACGCTTACTAGGATAAAGCGTCAGATATCTTGTTCAGAAACACTCCTGCTTAGCTCCGGACCTATCGGTACCCTTATTACTCTTGACTCGTAATGGTCATAGGTTCACACATTTGCTCACGCTATTTGTCACCCGTCTCTCGTCCGTCGCACATTTTACAACCATTTGGTTGGGCCTCCTTCCTACGCGCCTTAAGCCAAGCATGATGAATAACCCACAAATGAGCTGGAATTCGGGTTAGTCTCAATCCTTTTTTGAAGAAACCCTCACCAACCTCCTACTAGTACGCAGGAGAGTGAAGTACGTTTAGGTGATCCATAAAAATGCGCTATAATGATACTTAGGGAAGTCAAAAGTGTTCAGAATAGTTTTGAGAACGATAGGCAGTCTTATTGCCGGACAACATTCCGTTTTTGACACAAACATTCTTTCCCGGCCAGTAGACGGGTTTCGCGGGGTTTTAAGACAGAACGAGAACCAAGCAGCGGTATCCCTTCTTACTAGTACGCTAGATCGGCGTTAGACTTAGGCAAGTGGATTTTGTACATTCATGTAGTCCGGTATGTGTGAGGACTAGTGGGATAATGGAAAGCTTTGGCCAGCTCTAGGATATCGTCTTTTCGGTTCAATTCAGCTGAAGGACCCTTTCGAGTAGTGTTTAACTTTTCGTTGATCTGTGTGGATAAGCTAGTGGTGCGCGTATGTTAGGGAGAGGAACTACGCAAACTTTACTCAGATCAGGCTTTCTACTACTTCTATCCATGTCTCCATGTTTACTGACAACCGTACAGCGTCACGTGTCACCTCGGTTTATCTAAGACTGCTCTCCATTCGCTCGGCAGCTCTATGCCCTCAATTCTGTTCACACTGGGATGCTCGATAACTTCTGTTTCCTCCACCCCCAACCACTGTGGTGTGGATCGTATTTCACATCTTAATCTTTCTGCGTTTTTTAAGATCTCTGCTGTCCTGTATCTAGCGCATGTGCCACCATCGGAGATTTTTCGACCAGCACGCGATATTTGTCCACATCTCTTTGTTCTTACCCATCCTAGTGTGTGGTTCCCTAGCTGTTTGTCTACCCACACCGTCTCTAGTCCCCGGAGAAGGTCCTTCAATTGCACCAACAGTGAGGGTAAAAATTCCTCCGTTCTAGAACGCTACTCTAATGTTGACTGCGTTCAGCGCCGTTCGAATGACCTAAGACGTTCCCATTTTGTATGACATGACTGTTATGCCAATCCACTGCTTCTTCATTGCCGCCAGTCAAAATTACTAGGTATCCACTTCCTTGAAGTCTACTTTCAACCTCGATTTTAGCCACTTTTCGGTCGACCTCCTCAGTGCATTACCCTCTGGCTCAACTTAACACTGATATGGCATTACCCACGTACACCACCTTCACATGTACTGAAGGGTAGTTCAGGATGGTCCTTGTGTCTGTTGACTTTTGATATATGATAGTTTTAAATTTTTGCCGTGCTTATGTGGCTTTCAGTCATTTTAGTGTTCTCATTTTCATCCCTCCGTGCCACGTTTATGGTAAACTTGCTGTGAATGTGCAAGATTTTACAATACTCTTGAAGCTTGTTTGGTTCGTAACGTTTTATCACAATTAAAGTACGGTCAACATCTCCCGAATACGCGATGGTCCTTCCGCCTTGGCACTACTGTTGACAGCCGAAACTACTTACTTGGTACTTTTCGATTGCAAGGTCCGGAGAACGCTTTGAACCGAGTTGGAAACAATTGTTTTGAAAACTGTACATCAAAGCCAAAGTACGAGGTGAAACTTGACGATCTATTGTCGTCAGTAAATACCAACAATTCTCGTACGGCATAACAAAGAATTAGATGTGCTTGATGATTAAGCAGTAGGACTGACAGCCTCAGGATTCGTTTACTCATGGTGATATCCTTAGTCAGTAAACTTCTAGGTGGTGAAGCCGTGAATTGTGCGAGCGATGGATAGAAAATATCTTCACATTGAATCCGTATGTAATGACCTTTGTCCGTAGTTCCCACCTAATATCCCCCAGGCTTTAACTATTAGCCTGCTTGATGGATTATCACAAAATCCCCTGAACTGCAGCTCAATATAGGTATAGATATCCCATAAGACTCAAGAACCAGGGAGACTTAAATATCGCCCAAGCTTCAACAGGAGAACTGGATCGCACTTTAACCGCTGCTTCGTCCCGTGACACACAGTGGCTTAGAGATTGAGCACACCTACCTTGCGTTGTGTATTGTTCTATCAAAGTCTGTACTATTCCGACTAGAAAACATGATTTACCCGGAACAGAGCCATTTCCTTTGTCACGAACTTTGCTCTTCAGTTCTTGGTTTGCTTGAAAATATCCAAGCTCTCTATCGCTTTCTGATGATTTGAGTGTTTAGACACAAGGGTGTCATTGCTTTTTAACTCGTTTTCTGGTATTTCTTAAGTCGAACTTAGGCTACTCAAACATGCACTTCTAACAAGATTACTTCAAGGTCCGGATGGCCTAGCCTTCATGTGTTGCTTCGAACCGACGTTGTCCTGTTTATTTGGTGCTTTAGTAAATACCGTCTGGAAATCAAATCATCGAACCTAGTGGATTCAAAAGGAAAACCACTGGAACTGAGCTTAAAAATAGACGATCTAAAGAAAAACTACCCCGTACAACGCATCGTGTCGACGGTCGTATGTGCTGGCAATCGGCGGTCACAGATGGCTAAAGAAGATCGCGCGCGCGCGGAAACTTCTCAAGGAAAACCACTCATCCGCGGTTTGGATTGGCAACATGCTGCCTTGTCTACAGCGGAATGGACAGGCGTTCGATTGGTGGATTTGCTGGTAAGACATCTTCTACCAGAAAGTCAACGGACTAACTACATGGCATTGTTAGAGGCCGCTCAAAGAGCGAAAATCCATCACGTTCAGTTTGAAGGTATGTTAAACCTGGAAAATAAACTTTTATTGACTTTAATTAATTGTTTACACAATGAATCTTGTCCAGAAAGGGTAGCTACTAGACCGATCAAGACGATTCCGGTAGAATACTAATCCTGCATATGATGTTAGTTCGTACCGAAGGGCCAAAACCTTCAGTGTAGCTGTCTCAGCCCTGTCAGAAAGCAACTTTGACCTGGCCATCATTCGGCTAGTACTATATAACTCGGTCACTTGTGACTGAGATTAGCTGAATACGAACATTCCCATATATTAACTTCAGTTACAACTGGTGGATTGACACGAAAGTGGAACTTTACAGTACTTTATGTGTTTGCTGCTATAGTCATCCGTCTGTCCCCTTTTAACGCCTAATGCTCGGTGTCAGCTCCGCCACGGAAATAAAACGCGTGGATGGGTAGCGTATGTCAGGAGACGGCGGCCTTAATGACGCCGTAGTTTGGCTTGGTACTACTCGACAAATCTGGAACCATGGTAACCATAGTTAAAATGGGTCTAAAACCGGTGGAAATAATAAACCCTTATCGTTAGAACTGCTCAGTCATGAATGCAGCTTACTATACATTGGAAATAGCTCGTTGCTACCCAGATAAACCGGTTCAAGTCAATGCGGTGACTGTTTTCGATGGAAGCCTATTGTAGGTCCTGAATATGCACATGGCATATGTACTGGTTGTGTAGGCCGGCTACGTTTTAACAGAAATTATTCCGCGCACGTGCCACATCCTTGAGAAAACTGCTCTGTCCCATCAACTGGGACTAACATTGTGAAAAACTCGGTTGATTGTACAGTTGTGGCGTAGTCTCTTTCACGTTTTCAGCCGTTCTGGTGAAATAGTCGAATAGCATTATTTTGGTACATAACCGTCGTGCGAATCAAGGTAAGCACGAGAGTTGAGATATTGCCACGTTGAGCAAGTTTTTACAGGAGTAGCCGGAAAGCCCATGATTTGGACCACAAACCTTCTCGTCGGCAGCTTCGCGCCTTAACCGTTGAGCAAGCTAGAGTTCAATAAATGTTTTTGCTGTGTATGCGCATGAATGCAATTATGCTGAGGACTGCGTCTTCGTCGTACTGAGTTAGCAATAGTTTGATCAACCACTTGAGTTAAGTTCATTCAGTAATACTGTCACCACATAGTTGAGGCCCTTTTGAAACCATGTACTTGAGTAATACCAGAAATATGTGAAATAAAGGCTGACGAGTTTAGAAGGCAGATAATAAGCGAAGCAAAACCCATTTGGTGCGTCTTCCTGAAGAGTCTGAGAACATAGCGCTTTGCTGCGACTCTTTGAAGTTACTCTGCAAACAGTCCAGAGGCCTGCGGTTGAATGGTTTCCGACAGGTTTTATTTTAGGGCCAATGCAATAGTTTGGATCGAGGAAACCTGACCTATTCAGCAAAACGGCAATGAATTCATCGAAACAGCCCGCATTACTACGCCTGTCTCCATACATCAGGTAAAACTTAGTGAACCATACACACAGCAAAGATGTTATTTCGCCTATTGGAGGTACTCAAGATAATAGTGGCAGAGATGTAGACAGTTCTCTAGGTATCCAGATATTTTTGACCCTGGGCATTACGCAAATCATGAAGTTTGTATCTTGCCGGATTTTCAGACTTAAATGCACTACTATAGTCTGGACAAAGCTCTTAATCAAGCAACCTACGTTAAATTCCTCACTTGTTTGATTTTAGTGGTCTACAACTAATTCACAATAAAAAACGCTCTTTTACCGTAAGCAGTAAAATAGTTCATCGTAGGCTGATATTAACTACATGCCAATGAAGTAAACATGACCCCTCTGTACAGTGCGGCTTATCTCAAACTCCTTAAATCAAACGTGAAGACATATGGAATGTGCATGAAAAAGGGATTAGGTACACAAAATTCAGAATGGTTGAAAACGCGGTCATGGTAGCGGTGATGACATACACTGAAGAGCAAGTCCGGTTAGTATATTGATTTGGTCGACGTGAAGTTGAATGACCAAAGGTTAGTTGAAGGTCATCCGTGCTGAGTAGCAAAAAAGGTAAAAGCGAAATGTAGTGATAGACGCCGAACTGCTTCGTCAGTCCTTCTTGGATAGTCCACAGACACTTGTCCACACACATGTTAGGTCAGATGTTGACTATGTTGGATTGTCAATCAAAGATCATTTTGCTGAATTTGTTTTCACTAGTTCAACTTATAATCATTTACTGCTAGCACCCTAAACGGCACGTTGGCTGGTAATGTGTTGGACTATTGGTAGCTCGGCTGAATTAGTTGGTAATTAATCAGGTGGCTGTTGATCGGTTAGCCAGCACCCACCCAACAGTGCACTGAAGATGTCTTCTCGAATAGTGACGAAAAGTTTACAAATCGATTTTCAAGCTCGGTGAACAACAGCCACCTGATCAGGTACGTTAGCTGTTTGTTTCAGTTTCATGGTTCTCCAAACAGGTTAACGCAGAGTTATTGTTACCATTTCGATAGTTAACCAGCAGAATCAGTTAATCAAACGAAATACTAAGACCCGTGTTTACGTTAGATAATTTTGCTTTATGCAGAAGCCCCTCCTAATGACGCTTCGTTATAGGTTTTACATTCATCTTAAACTGACTACTGGTTCCGTTGTCCGGGATTTGTTACCAAGGCTTTCAGCTGTCAAAGAAAATTTAACCAATACACAGAGTCATGCATTAAAAACTCCTGTCCATATGGTTCATTTCACTCGTAATCAAAGTTCAACCAACCGATTGACAATTTGGTTTGGGCATCAGTCGACTTGGTTCGATAAAACGTGAAGACAAACTCAATTTACTCAAATTCCTTCAGTAACTTTAACAGTACAGTCACTAGGCGTGCATGTATGCATTTATACAGTTTATGTATGCATCTTGTACTGGCTCCTCAAAATCGAATGACCAATAAAATGGTGAAGTATTTTCAATTATACTAAACTAGACCACACAGTGGTCAGTGGACGACGCATGGATAGAGGTGGTCAAAGTGACACGGAAATTTAGTTCATGACGTCAGCGTCATTCTGAGTCACTCCGTTGCAGACCTGCTGTCGAGGTTTAACGAATGCACTGCAGTCACCTGCTCGATCGACCATGGAACGGATTCACGGGATCCACACCCGTGACCTCGATAACGCCGTAGAACATCTGTTATGCCGTACCAGATAACTTGTGGTGGCCATCAATTGCTTAAACAATAAGAAATTTCCAGGAGGTAGGAATTCATTCGAAAAGTAGAAAACATATGCACCGGTGCTTTTCAGCCCACTGCTTCAACTATTTGGCCCCATATTAGGGACCAGTGCGTTATTGCCTATCCTAAGAATGTGACTGCCTTTCCCTCTAGAAGAGCGGCAAATCAGTCTGTGATAACCTGCAGGGTGTCAGTTTCATCAACAGAGCGACGAAGATATTCGTGATGTAGCCACCTAGTCACCTTTTAGCAAAAAGATACCACGCCACTTAACCAAAAAAGCTTCCATCAAGTAAGAGGTGTGTTAACCAGATCGTCGTTTTGCGTCTCAGTTAGCCATATAATTGCAATTTCAAGCAGTTAACCATCCATTAATCCCTTAAATTTTGGGCCGCTCATGATTCGACTCACCTGACCACATTGAGAAAAATTTTGCCCCCTGTTGGAACGTCACCCAGGCTCGTCAACTCGATCTTACCCTATTTTTGTGTAACCCGACTTTGGGTGTGCAATGGCGAGTCTGGCAACTTCGATTTGCATAACGGGATGCAGCAAAGACTCCCATACTCTCTTCAATTAAGCTGTCAAATGGATCCTGTATGATACCCTCGGAGTACCCAGGGCATGTTAATTCCATCAGATAGCTGAATTATTAGCACCGAACATCGTGCTATCATTTCGCAGGATCGGAATTGACAAGGCCGGATATCGCACGTTGCAGCCTTGATCGAACTTGAAAATGACGTCATGAAAAAAGACTTTTAGTACCAACATGTTGCTACCTGAACGGGGATTCAGGCCATGTGGTTCCCCTATCAAACAAGTCTTTGTGTCCACGTAACTCAATTGTTGCATTTTGCTGGATGGTGAAATTTAAAATGGAATGGAAATAATCCTCACCGATGCTAGAATAAAGTTTCTATGTTTGGAGAATTTCCTGTCGCGTGTATCTATGATAAGCATAAAAACGGAAATCTATTTTCGTTAGTCTTCCTTTTGCCATGTTTGCCTCTGTGGGTTTGAGACCTTGCTAATGCTTTGTTAGGGGTCTAGAGATTGCTCTGAATACAGAATAGTCTGGCAGTTTCTAAGGTAGCAGTTGGACAAAGTTGTTCCGTTAGTTCACAGCCAACTAGACGCATTCAACGCAGTTGTCTAAAACGTTTTTATTCATTTATTTGAAAGATTGACGGTAAGTTGGTGAGGAGATAAGTGGACGTTAGCTGAAAGGTTCGCTGAACACAGCCAATCTAGAAGTTGGAATCCCTATTCTCCACTTGATCCGCTACAGCACTGTTCTGGTCTCCTCAACGATCACCGAGCGCAACAGCTGAGACTGGGGATAGCCAAGGAGTCAGTCTCTGATGTTGGCTGCAGTAGTTTCTCGTCGTTTTCGTTTCCGCATCCCATATGGGTCATAATCACGTTAGGGGATTATTCTTCTCTCTTAGGTCACTGTCGATGCATATGCCGAATCAGACTGTTTACGCACTTGACTTTTTAGGTTTGAAACGACTGCAGATGCAAGCCAACAGTAGACCATTTACCTACTTACCCCCATTTACCCGCACCAACCCGAGGCAAGCATTTCTGGTTCATCATCACCCCTCTGAGCTATACTGCCAGTTGAGATGCAGTCAGCACCTAAGTTTGGGTCTTGTCGTTTGAATGTACGACCTTTGTCTTAACATGATGTTTCAGCGATGTCTCAGGAGTAAATGACCCCTGCAGCCACCAGATCAGTCTAGTAACTGTGCCCAAGCGTTTATTCCAAGTTAGAAAACCTTACTAGGCTGCGCTAACCCATCGTTTCGACTGAGAAATTGGACAAACACGAACTGTCTGTTGTTATGCAGTCCAACCGTCATGACACGAATCAGTTTCTCAAAAGTTTTTCATACTGGCCAAATAAACTTTTGTATTAAGTACTGAGAGTTCCAATCCAGCTTGAAATCACTCCAAACGCACCCGTTCAAAACTATTGACGAATTTTACGAGGCTATTCAATGCAAACACAAACATGTACGCACGGAATTAGCTCTACATATGATTTTTTACCGCGCCGACAGTTTGACAAAGTAGGGTCGTAAGAAAGGTGCTGTCAGTGGCTTTTGCGAAGGCATCGGCTGTAGCAAAAACACAGTTTATGCCTCTGTGGCAAAAATCATTTTGAAATTTCTACCAGCTTGTGATATCAATCCGGATTTGACAGCCTTGTGATTCTGTCACATCTGGATGTACTTCTGAGTGCGTTAAATTTTCATCGAACTCAGGATAACTTAGGGTTAATACTGAAACATTGGCAACCCACTAAGATGTTTCAAGTTCGCTTTCGTTAAAGGGGGTAGGCGCCTGTTCTTGACCGTCCTCCTTAAGGACAAATTGTTGTTTCTATCTTTGTACCTTTGCTAAAGTATCGTGTTCCCATTGTTGCATGGCAGTAGATATGTCTGGAATATAGCTGTTTTTTGTTGATTACGATGGTGATAGTGGTGGTAGTAGCAGTGATGGCTGATGAGGAAAATAATGGGATGTATGGAATGATAAGGATGATAATGGTTCAAACAATCGTCGTAGATCGAAAAATCGGTTGTTACCTCTCCGTGAGAGGAAAAGTGCAATCGAACAGATGAATTCTCGATATATCGGGAGCGTTCGGTTGGAGGAAAATTCCAGCTGTGATTTATTTCACAAGCATTCATATGTGTCTTATTATGTCTACTTCTCGTCAGAAAGCGGTAAGAACCATTCTCATTGAAGGTCTGTGATCAAGGCATGGCTTCATATTGGTTATTACTTAATGTATGTGTTGGCAGCTTCGGTGAGTTTAATGAGAACTGCCGAGTTCGGGGAAGAGCCCAGCTGCCACTTGATCCACAGTCAATGATACATATGCCGTTATGTGGAAAATTGGGATATGATAGCTTATTTCGACTATTCGTTTGTTCTTTATTTCAAGGTGCGGATTTCGACGAAGTTGTGGGCGGTGCTTATGGGTCATCCTTACCAATCGCTTGGGCTCTTGATCCACGAATGGATATTTTGCTGGCATTTGAAATGAATGGGCAGCCAATTCCAAGAGACCACGGTTTTCCGGTGCGCGTTATTATTCCAGGTTCGATTGGGGCACGTCAGGTGAAGTGGTTAACAAAGGTATGGCGGTCACCTCTTATTAACATTTACTGGAATGTGTTTTAGTGTTGCTAGGGTATTCACTTTAGATCTCACATATGTTTCACAGGTTGCGGCGTTCCCTAGTTATGGATACACGTGCTTCGGGTAAACTCGTTAGGGAACTTCACTGTAAATTCCTGAAAAGTTGGCTTCCTCGACAGTCGTGTGATTTCATAGCCGGTCACTGTTCCTCTAAAAACAGTGATGGCATTACTGCTAGTCTTATTTCGTCACCCTGCTCTTTTCCCGACAACTCGTGCCTGGAGTTCACTAGCACGAAACTGTACTACTCATACCTGCCCATGTGGCGTCTGCTGTGTACAACTGAAATTGCCTCAACTAAAAAAGAAATTTTTAACAGCATTGGCTGTATACCTTGGTTTCCTCGTCGTCCTCTGTGTCACACCTTTAGAATTATCATCACCATTTGGATTATCACCATAGATGTGATCGATTCTAGAGGCGCTCGAATTCGCAAAGCATTTCAGCTTTATTGGGCTCCGCAGATAGACACTAGCGTACGTACCACCTAACATTTTTGGGGAAAAGCACTACCAACCACACTTAGGAGGTTGGCGAATTTAGCTTGAATGTGTGGGTTTTTTCGACCGTGACTGTTGCAATTTTAATGAGCATTCGGCCGAATTCCAAGACTTCTGGTTTGGTGCCTGCCAAGTCCTACATAGGGCTCAGTGCTAACGCGGACAAACAAACTGACCATTCACTGTTAGTTGGAAAAAGCTGGATTTTTCGGTCAAACATTATTGTTTGTCGTTAATCAATCAGTGGAACTCAGCCAAGCGGTTATTCAACAAAAAACTCACTAAGGGAATCCATCTTAACCGTGAAATATGATAGATCCAGGTAAGAAAATAATTTGGCCCACCGATGTTTTCTTAGCTGATCCATTCCTAAAAACTCTTTCATGAGTTATAAGAACCCTACCAAAAATTTGATCCGCGCCATCCACTTGAGTACTTTCACAGAAGTTCCACCCGGTCACCTATTTACTACCGCTTACTAAATACATGAGCGGGAATTGTGAAACTGCTTTCCTGAAACGACTTCCTAAAACTTGAGAAGAGGTCGGATTCTTGCATTTTGACACGGGGGTTTGGAGTTATTTTGCAGGGTCACATCAAGAATGTATAACAAAAAACATGGAGTAGGTCAGATTTGATTGAAGCTGGCTGAAGGTTTACCGGAGCGAATGAAGCTAGTGAAGTATCTAGTTGTACTCGCATGACATCCGAAAGGATGGAGTTCCGAATTGTCCATTATGCTCCTTTTTCGGAAAGACAGGCCCGATTGTGTTGGCCTATGTTTACCAGTTGGCTGTCAAGGAATATGGCGAAGTCCATTTTATTGCAAATATACGCAACAAGCTAACGTTTTCCACTGTGAACAAACATTCGGTGCCATTTGAGATTTTTGGATTCGAGGAACGAGGACTCACAACGACGAAGTACAACGCTGAGGATTCTATTGGTTTGTGTCAGAAACGACTTGTTGAAGTCATAGGGCCGTATGCAGGAAATGATCTTGAGGCCAGTCTTCATGTAGAACTCATCGGTCAGAAAACCCCGACATCTTCATATGTCGGCACCATACTATGAAGCAATTACGTACTGAAGCTGAACGGCTAATAATGGGAGGTAGGTGGGTGGGGAGGTGGCAATTTAAACAGTCCTAAGTTCAAAAACCTATTTTAATACAAAGTTATGCAAGACCAGTGGCAGAGTACACAGCGATTTCTATTTTACACCACCGCAACTAGTGAGCCATAGCCCGTCTCTTTTCAAAGCAGACGGTAATGACAAGTAAGTGCTCCCAAGATTTGCAAATGGATGGCCATGGCAGATCGAAATTTCATATTCTATTCACTAAACAGGAATATGGAGTCGCTAAACGACATATTTGTCGGCTATTTGTAGGAGTTCTCACGTTCTCGTGCCACTTTTGATGTGGCTACTTTGCAACTTTGACAATGGATTGTATCTTTTACAGTCTCACCACTTTCCCGATTGCAATGCGCTTTTCCATCGCGCCATTCTATAGCTACCCACAGCATACAGTCACACATCTGACATAGTTATACTAAACCAAATCAGGTGCAGCAGTGAGTTTACATGCCTTGGTTGCAGAATCACTGTCTTCAGATTTTCACTTCGGTTACTGTGTAATAGGAAAATCCTCGTTTTCACAGTTCGCATGCCTATCTGTTTGACCATCTTTGATTCAGTAGAGGACCATACAGAACAGCACATCACACTGTATATAGGTCAGTATACCATAAAACGCCGAAATAGAATTAGGCTGCCATGTGGAACGACAAGTGAGTTTATAAGTATAAAAGGCAAGTAACTTATAGTACGCACTATGCACTATGAGCAGGATGACAGATTGAAGCATCTGGACAGCTTGTTTATCGTTCGAAGGGGCGTCTCTGTAAATACGTTAGTCCACAGCATCAGCGAAGTATCAGTGTTTGAACACGGATAATTACGATCTGCCGTAACTTGCGGGTAAACAGACTGTCAGTCACAAATGAAGTCTCCTCTTTGTGTTGAACTTGTCGACAGTAAACACAAATTTGATACAGACTCATTAATGGTCAGATAATTTAGCTGCCAGTGCATGGTATAAACCGGTGATCCACCCTTTGTATCCAGATACACCCAAATTTTCACGGATGCTTCAATTCGAGAACAATCATTACCGGAAGAACAGCCGCTCTTGGAGGGAGCATTGAGTGACGTAACTTGGTTCAGTATGTCTGCTGTGAAAACAGTGGTTAGAGAAGTGTTGCTTCGTAGTGAGACTTCTCTATTAACCGTCCCTCTATTATTCACTTATTCTCAACAAAAAACGGCTGCAAGTACACCACGTATATATATATATATAT